TTATGAGTCAAAAAATTCAGGTACATGTTGAAAATGAAACAGCATTTCTATTAATCCATTTTAATTAGGATATTGTTACTTCTTCGCTTCCATAACTTAAAGACAGACGAAGAATAAATCAATATTATCTCCTTCGTCATATTTCAGCAGCAGTCCATCACTCAGGATGTTCGCAGTGTCTGTGGTTTGGTTTCCTGTTGTAATTTCCGGTCCAGCAGGTGGCGCTGACGCATCGTTAAACAGCCAGATGTGTCGCTGCCACAACAAAGCGAAGAAGAAGAAGAGCAGGAAGAAGAAGAATGGTCTGATATGGCTGCTCTTACTTTGAAGGAGAAAAGTGCATTACTTTTTTAAAATAAATATATGATTATAGAGGATAATTCGTGACCCAAGAGAAGCGCAGGGTGAGTTTTTACAGACAGTTTCTCTACATCGACGGTAAACATTTATAACGTTTATTTAAATGGACGTGTCGGGGTTGAAGCCTGCTGTAGTTATGTTAGCATCTAAGGGTCGAGACAAGCATTACGTTCGATTTAACACGAGTTTTACGCTTGTTGTTGATTATTTGTACACGAAACACCAAGAACGAACATACTTTATGTCATGACTGCATTGTGAGCATTAAATATTATCACGTTTTTATTTATTAAATACTATAAAACCTGTAGGATGGATTGTTTGACGTTGTATTTATGTCATCCAGATGATACGAGTCTATTCAAACTACAGTTAAATGATTTGTGAGATTAATGTTTGAAGAAACACTTGTCAAATATAAAGTCACCGTGGGTTTTAGAAACACAGACAAATGTTAGGTCACATGAACCTTTCACTGTGAAAACAGATTTTAGGCCAAATTTCGGATTTAATATTATTTTTCTGAGCCATCTGATTCAGTGAGCTGGCTATGAGCTATAGAGAAATATATCACATATATGGTACAGTCAACCTCTTCAGCTTACAGATGGTCGTTTTGTTCCTGTTCACTTTATCTGACTTATATGTGCAGATTCACATGTGCCAGGAGATATGTCTGAAACTCAAACAAAACTCCAGCTAATTGTTAACATCATTCCAAAGAGAGCTAGAGTCTAGCCTTTATTGCCTGTTACACCATTTCTATGATCATTTTCTCCAATGTAATTCGTCAGACTAAAGTCAAAATCTGGATTTGTTGTCAAAAACTAGTTGATCAGTTTGAACTTCCTGTCTAGTTAAGCTGGTTGGACAGTCCTTTCAGTCAACAACAAATTAACTTCCCCACACTAGAACTGGTTTGTTTTTCCCAAACAGCAGTGACAAATCATAACTAGAATTTCTCTTTTTTTAGGTGTTTTATTTTTGCACGAACATTTTTCAGTTTAGCACAGAGAATAAATCTGAACAGTTGTCTCCGAGCGTTACATGTTCTTCCTGCAGCTTAAAACTCAGTGATGAGATGTGGCTAGTGATATGCATTGCTATTTATTTGTGGCGTGTTAGCGGTGTTACCTGCAGCACATCTGACTCAGCTGTTGAAAGAGTTTTGAATTTCAGACAGTGGGTTTTTTTTTGTTGTTATTTTTCTTTTGTTGGCCTGAGCATCATCAGCAGAGACTGCTGACTCTGGAGTTCAGCCCCGTTCTTTGGGCCTCACAAAGCTGCTCAGGCCAATGGCTCTGATTTTCATTGGTGTGTGTTAACATTTGTAACCACACACACACACACACACAC